GGGGGGGAGAAGAAAAAAAAAACGGGGGGGGTGAGGGGAGGGCAAAACCCCCTAGACTTTTCTTTCATGCTTGTTGGGCAGCTGTAATAATTCACATTGCTGTGGTATGGAAGAAGCTGGTGGTAGGTTTGTTTTTCAACACTTCAGTGTTGGCCTTTTGTTTCTTTATGGTGAGGTTTGTTGGAAATGGACATGTGGGCATCACATGGATGGAGGAATTGGGGGAAGCCAATTTGAACTGCTTCCATTTGCCTTAAGTCCAATCATGATATTTATTTTTCCATGGCATTTACCCAGATTATCCATGCCTCCTGCTTGGTCTGTGTCATTTCCACTCTGGACTAATCTGTTTGTAATAACCTTTTATTCCTGATGTATCTTATAACAATCTACCATTTCCCTGTTTTTTGTTCTAAGCATATTGCATTAAAACTGGAGATTGAAGTGAGAATTATTGCTGTGTAAAGCTGTAAGAACCAAGGAAGATGTCATGTTAAGCGTTGCTGTCTAATTGAGACTAGTTTTTCAATCATTGAGAAAAGGGTTTCCTCTGGGCCTTTTGTGCCAGAAGTTGAGGACAGGGAAAAAGAAGAAAATACTTCTGGCGATGTCTTTCTGTGTGGATACTCTTGCATTTCTTTTCTCCAGCAGATGGGATTGTCTCATCGGTTTCTGTTATTTTCTTTAAGAGTTCACCTATCTTATCTCAGCATTACTGCTTTTAATTTAAAGTAGGTTTGTAAAAGTATATTATATGGTTTTCTTCTTCTAGTGCTTTTGCTTATCTTTCAAAAAGAGTTTGAGTTAACTTCTAAAAGTCCTTTTCTTTTTAAGAACTTTCTGTGAGACACTTTTTGTTAATTTGTAACTTGAGATCTTGCCTGCTGTTTCTAGATAGAGTGAGCTAATATTTAAAGAGATTTAAAATATGGATATTTGATTGTACATTACTGTTTATTATTTTACTACCTCTTCAAAATCTTGTGGAAGAATGACAGTGAGCTGTGGTAGTAATCACTGAGTGCAGTTCCTCAGGGAGGTCATAATTCTTCAATATTTCTGTTGTGCATTCTGTGTTATGGTAGTTCTCTTACAGTTAAGTATCCTGTGTGCTTTTAAGCGACTTAATGTATTAAGATTATTTAAAAATAGTTAAATCTTAAGTCTTGAAAAAAGCATGTGAGACCCTAACACATCCAGTTCTTTGAATGGTAGGAATGCATATAGTTGAAAGAACAAAAAACCCATGACTTCCCCTTCCTCTGGATATTCCATTGTGGCTTGTCTTGTCTTTCTTAAAAAAAAAATTAAAAAAAAAAAATAATTAAAAAATCTGATTTCTTAGGACAGGATTTTAGTTTGTGGTGTCTTACACAATGCCATAGTCATTGTAAATTTGTGAATAATTTGTTATGATATCATGTATAATGTATGTTTACAGTGGGGACCTAAGACACTGATGTGATATGGTTGAGGCAGTAGACTGTCTTGCATGTGTCTTGCTGTAGCCTTCCTAAAGAGCTGTTGGAAGACCTTTGGACCTCTTTAGCCTTTAAATGGAGTTTTTGTGTTTGCTTTAAACTGACGAAAATAAAGGTGATGGCTGCAAAGGGGTGATGTTCCTACCTGTTTCCATGCATTTTCATCTCCCATGTCTGTTGGAATGACCATTTAGGTGGCTACATAATGAGCTGGATCAGAAAATTGATCCATCTGAAAACTAACCTAGTAACAAGAGGCAGCTGTCACTGATATTAACATGGTGCTTGGACTAGACGGAGACAAAAATATGTGGCTGGAACCTGGTAGGAGTATCACATCGTCCCTTTTTGGGGATCAGCCCAGTTGGTGCTGAGGTTGACTATAAGTAATCGCAAAACCCAAGTTTCAGCTGTCCATCTGTAAATTTGTTAGGATTGGATTGAGTTCAGCTTTAGTATGCAGGGAT